CCCCAAAAAACGTTCAAGCATAATTCAACGTTCCCAAAGAAATAATTGTTTTATTAAAAACGTTAAATTAAATTATTAAATTTTATTAAATTTTTAGCTCCCTTTAATTTTAAGCTAACACGCACGCTTGCCATATTTGTAGACTATGGTATATTGGCTGATATACCATAATGGCTAAGCCAATAAAAAGTCTTGAATTGCATTATCCAATGATCTAGTTTTCAATAATACTAATTGAATTGAAGGTTTTTTTTTCTAGAAATAGTTCATCCAGACCTATATTCTGGCAAAGTTTGGAGATTTTTATTTTTTTCATATTGCACACCTCCGAATGATATTTACGGATGGTTGCTCTTAAGCAGGTAAGGAATAGGCTTGACTGTAAACAATTCTCTATTGGTGGAAATTCAACAATCCATGCATTATTCTGTCTCTTGCATTTGAGACTGATGTTTCTTGATTGTCCTGGGAATTATATTCGAATATTTATTTTGCAGAGTTTAGTAAAGGATTTGATCTAGTTCATCATAGTAAGTTACAACTTGAGCTTAAACATCTGGGTGTGAGCAATGTCTTAATTAGTCAAATGGATCTATCCTATCCTTACCAGCAGATCTCAGATTGTTACTCGGTAGGGTCTTATCTGCCCCAGTCTATCCTTACAACCGGGTATCCCCCAAGGGACAAAGCTAGCCCCTATCCTTTTTGGTAACTTGGTTAGGAAGCTGGCTGACAATTAGCATCTGCGCACTAAGTATGTGGATGACACAACAGTGTTTGAGTGAATATCCAGATGTAGCCGAAGGCATCTTTCGTTTGTTGTTCAGGTCATTGTGGTTATGCTACTAGCTGAGGTATGCGCTTAAATCCCAAGAGGTTCAAAGAGATGATTGTCAATTTTCTTGAATACCAACCTATGGTTCCAGATACCATTAAGATAATAGGTAATCACATAGAAAGAGTCTCAAGTTATAAGCTCCAAGGGGCATATATATCTCAGCACCATAAGTGGAATCTGCATGTTGGGTATATTGTTTGAAGAGCTAACAAAACGCTGCATGCCTTGAGATTATCTAAGAGGTCAGAGCCCTAACATACTGACCTACTGTAGATACATAGTTCATTACTCAGATCTCTTAGTGAACATGCATCACATATGTAGATCTTATCAAAGCCATTCAGAGGAGGGCATTAAAGATTATCTTTCCAGATAATGGTTTTAAGGAATCCTTTGTTTTATCTGCTCTCCCTACCCTAAGTCAGCGCAGGTATCTTGCCTGCATCAGGTTTTTCAAGGACCTACCTAATACTGAACCTGAAGGGTCTCTCTACAGCTAGGCGGAGGAAGTTCCTCGTGGTTACAATCTTCGCTCAGGGGATTGCCTCCTTGTAGAGAGACCCAGAGTTAGGACAGATAGATTCGCCACTTTCTGTACCAATAAATTTTTCCCCATAAGGGGTAACTCTTGAAGGTTTATTTATGATAACTTTTTGAATGTAATGAAATTGTCGTGCATGCTCTTGAAATATGATTCATTAAGGGTTATTCATCACATCGTACGCAGCGCCCGTGGGCAAGATGAAGAAAATCCTGTGTTCTGATTGGCTACCCGAGTAGGAAAGATGAGCCCATCTTGCCCGCTCAGGATTGCCCGCATTGATCCCGCGCATGAAAAAAATATAATAAGAACTACGTTCGTAAATCTCGGAAAATTTTTGAGAGGGAAAAGAAAAAAGCGGCAGAAGATAGTAAAAAAAAAAAAGAAAATAGAAACGATTCTTGTGATTTTGTTGTGCAACAAACACAGTTGGCTTTCTTTCCCAGATCTAGAGGGAAAAAAGTCATTCTTAACTCTCAATAAAGCGAAATCTTTTGAAATATGATAAATCCTTTATTAACCAAGCTTGTCCGGTCAGGAGGGCTGGATATTAGCTTCGTTCTTTTCTCACAATTTTATGCAGTTCGACTTTTTCTCGGTCCATAAAAATGCAAAGAGAGAACTCGGCCAATATCCAGCCATTTTGACCTCACGCTTGGTCAATAACGCATATTTAAATTATACCTACATGAGAAATTGCTCAATTATTATCAGTGGTGTTTATATCATTGTTATATTGTGTACATACCACACTGTTATTCAGCTCTGCCTGCAAAAGAGTTGATTAAACATATCTGTCTATCTATCTATCTATCTATATATCTATCTATCTATCTATCTATCCATTTCTCTTTATGTCTTCTTTTCTTTAACCTACGTGCCAGTATGTTAATATCGTGTCAAGCAATAGCTTAGAAATTTAACCTTGCTTTACCACAACAAGAAAAACCCAATCAAACTGAAAATTTGTCAAAAGATAAGAAGTCAACTATTCTATTAACTTACTAGACCAAAATCTCATAAGGATCGATAATTCCTTGTTTCTAAAGTTGATGACGTCACGTGAAAACCAAGAATTAAATCCCCTGATTCAATAACCCCGGACGCTGAATCAAACATTACGGTTTGCTCAAATCTCGAATTTTTTTACGCAGAATGGTTGGACATCAGTTATTCGTGAGCACTGAAGCGGAAAAATGTGAATGCAATAGCGCCTGGAAAAGCCTAGGGGAATGGGAGAAAAGGCTGAAACTAGTCCAGCAGCATTGATAAATCTCGCTTTCCCGATTCCAGAAGCAATAAGTTAGAAATCCAAGACTGGCTTTTTAAGAGGATGGGTTTATCTATAATTCAAACTTAAGAAGGAAAAGTTTAAAGAAGTATAAAGACTTCCGTAACCTTTGGAAATGACGAAAAAAACGGACAGTTTTAGTTGAAGGCCTATTTCATAAGCAATCTGTTTTAATAAAGAAGACTGACACAACATGTCAACCACAATCAGAAGTGATGCTTGATATTCCTTCGGGGGAAAATATGTCGTGACGAGCGGGTACACGTCCATTGAGAGACAATGATTCGAATAAATGATCGAATAAAAAATATAT